GACGCGTGGAATTATTCACCCAGTGGAAAGAATCTGCTCAGCGGCCAACTGATCGAAAAGGATGAGTAAGTTCTTTTGGAACGCTGTGAATTGATATGTAATTGATGTGGACATCGAAATACTAAATGTCAAAACACATTCATATGCTGTTGATATGACCCACATACTAAAATGCTCACAGGGATGAAAACATTCCAATCGCAGTAATCACCGAATACAGTTATAACGCACGCATATACACACACAGTACCCGAAATAACTTGAAAAATATTTAAGTTTAACCCAATTTATACAAGTAAATAAAACAATGCGCATACTTCTGTCAGACAGACTTGGCGGCAGGCAAATCATATCTTATATTATGTAATACTATTTCAAATATGGTGATTTCTATATACTCACTGAGGATTACTACATGTTATATATAAACAGTATTTTATTATTCAATGTAACCTCTTGCCAAAAATGTGGCGTATTTTACTTTAGTTGATCGAGTTTTAGTGGCTACGTTGCCTTCTGCTTCTGGTTATCGATAACCAAACTGACACAGATACAGAGGGTGTTTTAATGTTGCTATTATTATAAAATCAATCAAAATAAATATAAGCAGGTTTATTTTTAAAATCCAACTATACTCTTTTGCAAGAAGAAAAACAAAATAATACAAATACAGTGCATGGTATGATCCTAAAGCTTTCTGATTCAAGAGGGAGTGACATTTCAATTTTATTTATTTATTTATTGATAGATTTTTCAATATTAACTTTTATAGTTAAAGATGTATCTGCTAATGTTGTGTACATTGTTGTACAGTTTACAGCTATTTTAAAATTGTTGAATGTCAGCAGCTGTGGAACTGTGTCATTCTGTCTCTCTGTGTAGTAATCCGAGTATATTTAGGAACTCAGACAGGATGGTGACTGACTGTCTGGTTGAGGTGAAATGAAGGGAAACAATCAGTTTCGGTTGCTGCCACCTTTAGTCTGTTACAACAGCATGTAATCACTGCAGTGTAATTGTACGAAGCTGCAACCACACAATTTGTTCTGATGCGTTCCACATATAACAACTGATGCTCATTGAATGCTGTATGTTGTTGTAATGTTATTATGGAATTTCTATGTAAGAAATGCTTTGGTATTGTGTTTGTCTTCTGGTTTTGTCCCACCAACATCCTCTCTTCTTTAAATTGGAACCCATTTTTGTTTTTATTCATCTTCTTTCTATCTTTTCGATAGATATGCATCTGTTTTCCTGAAAAGAGACTCCAAAAATATCGGCAGAATTTATAAGAAGGCGATGTACCGACAGTTTACAGATGGTTCCTACAGCAAACAAGCTTTGCATCCCAACTGGCTCGGCTTCCTGGGGCCAGTACTGAGAGCAGAGGTTGATGATGTCATCGTGGTCCACCTTATGAACTTTGCCTCCAGACCTTATTCTATGCATCCTCATGGAGTTTTTTATGAGAAGAATGCAGAAGGTACGTCCAGGCATGGATTACTATCCACTTATCTATCACCTATCAATCAATGCCTGGCCTGGTGCTACATCTGCAGTTTTAACCCTTAGTTTGCCCATGCCTGTTCTACCCCCTACTTCTTCAAAAGCATTTTGTTTCTGGGAAGTCTGAGACTGAAACTGAAACTGAAACTATGTGGAAGTGGAAGTTGTCCAGTTTACAATGGTTGTCAGTCCAGAGATCTTACACCATGAAGTGATTCAGTTGTTTAATCAGGGCCATGATCAGGGAGAGGAAGGAATGTGATATGTTTGAAATAAATAGGAGCCCCATGGGATGTTGTCTGCAAAATAAAAGACTGACTAATCAGATGGCTATGTCGTGAAACATGTTATGATGTGGAAATGGTACAGAGGTCACTGTGGCAGTGATACTGTAAAGATAAAACAGGTCAGTTATGTATTTATTAACTTTTTTATACACCTAAAAATAAAACCTAAGAGTGTGTATACAGACCCCACAGGGGTTGGTCATTTGGCTTGTGATTTTTGGATAAGAAAAGACACCAACCCAATGATTTATTTTTCTTATTACTTTCCAGTGCCTGGAACTGAAGAAGACCTGCTGGGTTGAATCATTGTCAAGTTATTTTAATAATATTGAAAAATAAATGAGCACAAAGAAATTAGGTCAAGGGAAAATGTTTAAAATTGAATTATCAGCCACATTATATTTATGAATTAGAATTAATAAAGCAAGACATTGCTGCACAGATAATGATATGTTTACTAAAAAGTTTGGTATTTGGCCACCAGGGGCCCTCTATCCAGATGGGACATCAGGCCAGTTGAAAGATGATGACGCAATTCCTACTAGAGGAAACTTCACCTACCGCTGGGAGGTCAGGCCAGAATATGCCCCCACAGATGCTGATGCAAACTGCCTGACCTGGGTCTACCACTCTCACGTAGACGCTCCCAGGGACATCGCTTCAGGGCTAATCGGGGCTCTACTCACTTGTAAAAAAGGTACAATATGTGGACATGTGATGTGATGTATGCTTTTTACCATCACTGATTCATCATTGGACGACACGGTGGAAGAATGTTCAATGTTTTTCTCTCTTACACATGATGGTAAATACCTTTCTGTACTGTGTCCACACTTTTGTCCACTGAGGTTTACGGGCAGTTGTCAACTCCTGATGCTGACGATGACTAAAGCTCAGCTTGGTAAATATTTCTCATAAAAGAAAATATTGAAAGTCCTTTCTGATGTCCCTGCAGGTGTCCTAAAAGACACAAACCTCGACTCTGTCCAGGAATCAGCCCGCCATGATGTAGACAAAGACTTCTTTTTGATGTTCAATGTAGTCGATGAAAACACAAGTTGGTACCTGGATGAAAACATCTCTGATCTAAATGTACTTAATCTTGACGACCCAGAGTTTAAGAAGTCAAACTTGATGCACGGTGAGAGTTAAACTTCATAAACTTTTACTTCAACTTCTAAATCATGGAATACATCAAATTGTTAGTTTTGATCAAATAAAGCAAATTAAATATATGTCTTTATTTTTGTTTTCTTTTTTGTGCTACAGCTATTAATGGATACATGTACGGTAACCTGCCTGGAATCCAGTTGTGCCAAGACCGGAGAGTAGCCTGGCATTTGTTTGGCATGGGTAATGAGGTGGACATTCACTCGGCTTATTTCCATGGGAATACCCTTCTGGACCGTGGTCACCGCACTGACGTCCTCAGCCTGTTCCCAGCCACATTTGTGACTGCTGAGATGATCCCCAGATCAACTGGGAGGTGGCTGCTGACCTGCCAGGTTAATCACCACTTGAAAGGTAAGGAAGCTGAACTTTGACCTCTCTGCTTGCATGTCTACAGTGGCTTAGCAGAAATGCTGACATGGGTGACACCATTTTGGTGTCAGGGGCAGGATGTAACAAGTCTTCGTGGGATATATTATATTCCGTGCACTCCATGTCCATGGTCCTCTGTGGAAACAGATAAATTTACTCAACAAACTTCATACAGAGCTGACACCTAAGAAATACTATTTTTAATCACACTAAGATTTGTTTTTCCAGCTGGGATGCAGGCATTTTACGATGTGAGGTCATGTGACGGTGAAGACAACACCACAGTGACAAATGGTGTTGTAAGAGATTACTACGTGGCAGCAGAGGAAGTCCTGTGGAACTATGCTCCCTCTGGCAGGGATCTGATTGATGATCTGTCCCTCACTGACCCTGACAGGTATGTAGATATGAGCAGCACACTGGAGGGAACAACAAGCTCTAAAAAGACAACATATTTGATATTTACCCCAAATCCAAATCTTAATGTTTGCACAAATGTATTTAACAGATGTGTTTTGACAGACTTTCAATCCCATCCCAAAAACACTGGCTCTGTTTTTTAAGAAGTACAGGCTCATTGTTACCAAGGCTGGGTGAGCCTGAAAAAAACTATTGTAACTGGTGTGAAAATGTTTCTTGAAGTCTAGATGTTTCAGTCGTTTGTCTTCTGTGGGCACCTTTGATTGTTAGTGACCCAGACATTATTGGATCCAGTTACAGGGAAGCTTCTTGATGTCTAGTACAAAACGGTGTTGATA